CATTCTCCACACCGACATCCATATCACTTTCAGTTTCACTCCCATTCTCACTTTCAGATTCGCCAAAGTAAATTATTATTGGCGAAAGTTCCTGTTGCACGCCATCAATCTCTCTAAATTTGTTTTCCACTTCATTGATGACGTGCAAACAGGCCCTTACCCACTCCCCCTGGGTAACCCTTTTTTTTTTCCTCTTTCTAGAGAGTTTCAACATCTGCAATTTTAAGGTTGGAGTTGTGTCTGGCGACATAGTCTTTTTCTTGGGTTAAAAAAAAACACAAAAGAAATATAATACACAATACGCACTTTTTCGTTACTCCCAAACGATATTTTATAAACATAATATAATACGAAAATGGACAATTTACGTTCGATAACCTCTTAAATCTAACATATTTATATTGATAAATCTGTAGATTGTTTTATATTAACGATGCGTCGTTTACAAATATCAAATTTTTCACGCCTGAATCCACGCTATGTACTCGGCCTGATTATTTAACATTTAATAAAGAAAACCTAAATCAAATTTAATAACGCGATTTGGATTCAACAGGGTTTGTTTTTAAAAAAAGGACTCCAATTTCTGTTCGCCGGCAACAAAATGGCGCCGGTCTTAGCTAATTCAACGAAGTTCAATTCCACATATCTTTGTAAAATACTGAACTAAACGGAACACATTTTGAAGCGACATTCTTATCAGAGAAATATCTTCACAATATGTTTATCTGCAAGGTATTCATATTGCTCAAAAGGAAGCACCGAGACCTAAGTTGCAAAAAGGCTAACGAAAATGTTTTACTTTATGTTAGCATGTGGGTGAATTTTTTTTTATAGCTTGTCGAGTCTATCTGATGGTAATTTTGGGCTATTGATAACGGTAATATTTCTTTAAATTAAAAAAGTCACCTTGAATTAGTTCGATCGGGTTTAATTCACAGTGGCATACTGGAAGTCTTATGACCAGGTCGCCGTTAAAATTGGCCAATCGGTCAGTTTCATGATCCTGCTTTGGTTTATGTAACGCCACTCGCTTTAAAAGTGCTGCCTGTGAACAAAATATAAAATAAGTTTAACTCTAATATTTAAAACGTATTGCCCAATTCTGTCACGACTTGGTATAAACACAATCGGTTTTTAGCATGATTTCTATTTAAAATGAAACTACCCATTACAACGTAATTAAAAGGGATATCTACCTTTGTTTCAGATGGACTAAATTCTACTCCCTTATCGGTGAGCCACTGAATGATTTCACATTTTTTGTTGGTAGTTTTGGGGTTATATGATGAGGATGATTTAATATTGTGGTATGGCGCGTTATCTAAAATAATCAAAGCCGGTTTTGGAGGTGAAGGCAATAATGTGTTACCAAACCAGTCAATGAAATATCTGAAATTAAAATGAAATAAACATAATACAAATTTATAAAAGCTACTGTTTAACAAAACGTGTGTTTAGGAAATGTAATGTGATTGAGAATACAAAATTTTAGGACTACTTTTCGAATGTCTGATTAAATGCAAATAACAATTGAAAATCTGTTTACTTCCAATTCTTCTCATCAGGTTAGTCGGGCGATTTTAGTTTCGACCGAAACACCCTCCCTACTTCTGGGATAAATCCCCTGGTCGAAGATCCTGCGTCTAATATTATAAGGCGACTGCCCTTTCCTGCAGACATGCATCGTCCACAGTCCGAACAATCCGGACATAATACGCCAATGGGACCTGGAACAATACAATTTAAAAAATCATAATTCAAATAATGTTCGAATAATAAACTCGGAATATATTTTGCATTTAAAATAAAGCTTTGTTTTACCTTTTCAGGTCTCTTCAAGGTAAACACATTCATATCCTTCATCTCTATAATAAAAAAAAACATATTAAAACACGAAAACTCAAATCTAATTTTAGATTCTTATCAAAAAACTTCCTTTTTTAACATTTGTGCACAAAACGACTTTCAGGTTGGATCGTTTACCTGTTTAAGCAAGTATTTATTTTTTTTTATTCATCTATTACCCAGTAAGTGGGAAGTCAATAATACCTGTATTTGACTACATTTCTCAAATAATTATGTCTGGATGTCACAATCTCTGTTGTTTCTTTCGCAAATCTCTTGCCGTGGGAATTGTACAATTTAAATCCAATTTCTTTTAATATCCTTTGCAGGTGGGTTTGCGAAATTATAATGTCTTTCTGCTCCAGAACAGAACACAGTCGTCTGGTTGAGAACTGTATAAAATTTGAAAAATGAAACCATAAGCAGTGTTGAATCATTCGAGTTTGTATGTTATTTCTTTAAAGCCCCCTTTTAGTTCAAACTTTCAAAAATATAATTATGTGAAATAACATATATATTCCAATAGACATGGAACTAACTGAAATGGATTTTGAAATAATATGAATACACAACTCGTGACGTGATTATAAATTGTTCCTTATGTCTTGTCTTAAATATTAGGGAGTATACCGCATATTTTCACGCCAAGATAACAACATGAATACTGATTGAAATAAATCAATTGTGAATTATTATTTGCGTTTTCAATTTTAAATTTTATGGAAAAGTTTAACGCCTTCAATAGTAAGTGTGCAAGAAGACCTCACTACACGCAACACAAAATTGATAATATAAAGTGGCTGGAATCTAGAGCATAATTGTACTTACAGTTACATATTGGTCCTTTCTATACAGGCTGTGGATAGTCTCCTTGATTACGCTCCGGTCAAAACTGTCGAATCTGGAAGTAAATGTACGCTTCTTACGAGGTCTTGTAGGTTTTTTGGCATTATACACCCACAGAATTGACACCTTCAGGGCTGCCGCAACACGCTTGTATATGTTGCTGAAAAGGTTATCGTTTCCTTGAAAGAATGATATTAAGTTAACGATGCACTCGGAAACCACCCTGCACGTTTCAAGTCAGTAGCTTGAAGCGTATATATGGTATTAGTGTCAGTGGCTTGTGGCACGAAGTAACAGTATATTGTCGCATACATAATATATTATGTCAACGCTTGGGCGACATAATATATTGTGTTGACGCTAGGGCAGGGTTAGGGTTAGGCTCGAGCTGTTCCTATCTGAAAGCTGAAAGAAAGTTTACACACGTATCCCAGAAATGGTTTATATAATTTTAATTTCACACGTGACGGTTGATTATAGGCCTACTATTTTCTAATATTAACAATATAATCTTTTACAATTGTTATCGGTGCCATCTTGTTTTTTGTTCATGCCTAGTCACCTCCATCCTAGTTCCAAGCGTTGACATAATATATTATATCGCCCAAGCGTTGACATAATATATTATGTATGCGACAATATACTGTTACTTCGTGCCACAGGCCACTGACACTAATACCATATATACGCTTCAAGCTACTGACTTGAAACGTATCGCCTGCGGAAACTTCGGTCGTGAGCTTCATGTTGTTTCTTAAATTATTTATAATACATGTATAAAGAAGATCTGGAAGGTTTAGTTTAAATACGACTTTATTTTTACGAGTATCCGTGCAATCATTGATATTTTCATTGTGAATAAAATTTGGTAGACTGGCCATTGATGGTTTCAATATATACTGAGCGTCATGGAAAACGCATCACTTAGTTTTTCGTATAACAAAATGATCCTGTAAATATATCTTATTTATTTTGCTTCTTATTGTGAACAATATTCAAATGGGAACACATCAATAACACTTATGGATGTTTAATCTGTAATCAAGGGTACAAAGTCAGAGGGGCCAAAACCAAAAGTACGACACAGATGTCAGTAGCGCGTGTGTCCTCTACGGGCCATCATCAGGGTAGTCTACAGCATTAACGCGACTCCTGCAAATGTGTAGGGCGGTCCGGTGATGAAATGTGAAGCCTCCCCACACCATTACACTACCCCCACCCCATCGATTCGTTTCGAAGACGCAGCAGTCTGCAAGACGTTCCCCAAGACGTCTCCACACACGTTGACGGCCAACAGCGTGATAAAGATGAAAGCGACTCTCATCACTGAAGAGCACACTTTGCCAGTCTACTCTTCTCCATGTCTGGTTTCCTTGAGCCCATATCAAACGCCGCTGACGGTGATGATCCCTGAGGATAGCTCCAACATAAGGTCGTCGTGCACGGAGTCCTACTTCTCTTAGACTACGTCTAACGGTGTTGGCACTTACTGGTCCTTGTCTTCCGACGACTGCTGCACCTGTTCGAGTCGCTGGGCGGAATCTGTCACGCAGATGAGTGACCCGGATGTAGCGGTCTTGAGCCTGGGTTGTAACGCGTTGTGGACCAGGACGTTGACGGTCACGTGTTGATCCAGTAACTCGAACACGTTCCACCAACCTTACAATAGTGGACTGATGACAATTGAAGTGTCTGGCAATAGCACGTGTAGACATGCCAGCTGTGGACATTCCCATGGCTTCATTCCGTTGATTTTCAGTAAGTCTCGGCATCTCTAGCTCGATTCCTTCACACGTCCAACAAAAGATTACGACAGATTGACGTTTCACAGTTCATGTACTGCACATTAAGTTGAAAACATGCTTTTAAAGGGCTCACACACAATGCTGCACGTGAATATTGGTTTTTTCATGTGCATCTCGTGCAATTTTTTTTTTTTTTTTTTTGCACAATGGCCGATATTTTTTGCGTTTGGGAGCATTGTGTGAAACAATAGTTCATAGTATTGCATAATATTATACATACAAAACCACCTAGTAATAAAATATTTGGGAAAAAAAGTGATGCGTTTTCCATGGCGCTCAGTATATATCTTCTATGTAATTGCCCTTAGTTAAAAAATTTCGTCACTCAAACGATCGAAACGATCGCGGTTTGTTTTCATGGCAACACGTGGTTGTCAAACTCGCTGTCAAAACTAAACACCCCACAACAACTTTAATGGTTTCGTCCAACACGTGACAAAAGCCATGTTGTCTTCCACTTTTTAGAAAATATAAGTAAACACGTCAAATTTTTCAAAAGAGAACTTTTTTATTCGTTGAGATATTTAATTGTGCAATGGATTTTATTTAACCGGGGTTGATTTCAAACACACAGGTAAGTTTTTATTAACCAAAGTTAAACAGTTTGTTCATAATCGAAGAAATCCGTTTATAAAATAGCAAGGTTCAGACAGTAATTATGTCGTCAGACTGTTTTCAAGGGTGGGCGCAGGACTGTAGCTATCGGTGTGGGGGCTGGGGGGGGGGGCAGCCCAACCAATGTCACTTGGCTTTATGGGGCGTCCATACTGGTATGAGCACGTTGGTCGTTGGCTTCATATTGCGTCCAATGGAAAGGGCGGCGGGGTTCGGCGGCCCCTTCCCCCCCCCCCCTGACCCCGCTAGCTACGGATCTGCGGTGGCCATCTCGATACCAGGACAGACTCATTAACGTGGCCTATCGTGATCCCTTGGGCCGAGGTGAGCTAAAACAAATAATGAAATCCGACATCCATTCTGGGATAGTCCATAACAATCTGAAAAAGTATTTAGCGTCGTTTCCAAGGATGTACCTGGATTTGGGGTATCTGGCAGTGATGGCGTGTTCGTAAGCGTCGATTACTTCGAATAAGTTACTGGATGATTTCTCCCGGAGTTGTTTAATCATCATCTTACCTGAAAATACATACATGGGTTATTATTAGAGATTATGTAACCGCGTGTCAATTTACTTTTATTTTACTGACTCAAAGAATGGAAAAATGGTGGTCATGGGGAATATGGGATAAAGGTTGTCGATTTGTCGCATATAATTAATTTACAATATAAAAATTATTACAATATACAAATTGACCAATAAATCATCACATGATCCTATATGAATTAATAAATTTGCCCGTAAATATTCATCAATACGAAATATGGCTTTAAATGGCCGGTCATTAACAACCATATCTGACTTTATTCAATGACCACACGACCATCTTATTCGAGAACGTATTTCTCTTAAATAAAAACATACTTTGATCAATAAACTCCTGTCCATAATATTGCCGGAACTCAGAATCTCCTTGATTAAATGCGTCTTGAAATTTTTCATCAAGTTTCTGGGCGTTGAGTATCTCTGTGTTAAAATATCCCGGTTCCAAGATACTGACCTTTATTCCTTGGTGATACACCTCTCGTCTGAAACAATATTTACAAAAAAAAACCGTCAGGGTAAAGTTGTCAATGAAACAGGAGCGGGGTGGGGAAAATCAATGCCTGATTCCACTTACGAGGCCACCCCCACGACTAGAGGATGGTAAAGGTACGTTTTAAAAAATATTGATCAAAGTCGAGGAGGCCGACTGATGTTTAAGACTACAATGGCTTATGACAATGTAGGTAATAGTATAAATGTTGGCGGGAGGCCCCCTAGATCACAATGCTGTAGGCGAATTAGACACTCAGAAAAATTCAGAAAAACGTAAAAACTACCAATCTGATAGGGACCTCAGATGACATGACTCTCATTTTCAGTAGAATTGTGATTCTTTGAAAAATTCTAACGTACCGTAGGCTATCTGAGAAAGCTTCTACTCCATATTTTGAAACACAGTACGGTGTAGGTACCAAAGCAATGCGTCCAATTATGCTGGCGATGTTAACTACCCTTCCTCTTTCCTTTCTTATCAGTGGTAAAAACATTTTAGTGACGTCTATTAAGCCAAGTAAATTAACAGCCAGTGTATCCATGTAGTCTTTTCTGTTTAAGCACTCGATAGGTCCGATAGTGCCACCTATACCAGCATTATTTACAACAGCCCATAGTCCTATAATTACATACATATAAACCATTACATCGGTTCAGTTCCTATATATATATTAGCTTGTTACCCCTATATATATGTATGTATGTATGTTACCTCTATGTATTAGCATGCGACCCTTACAACATTTCCTACATCTACTAGAACGTGACTCCTAGAACAATTCCTATATTTTAGCATGTGACCCTTACCATATTTCCTATATATTTTAGCATGTGACCTCTAGGATAATTCTCACATAGGCCCACAAAAAAATAATATAGTACTAGCATGTGACCCCTATACCAATTCCTATATATTAGCACGTGACTCTTAGAACAAATAATAATAATAATAGCGCAGCTTATCCATAAAAATGTTCAAGGCGCTTGGAGATGGTATGAAGGTATCAATGTTACATTTGTTTCAGTTATAGTAAGAGTTGAAAAGAAATGTTTTCAATCAATTTCACATTATACCCAAACACACTGTGACATTGTAGGGCTTCTACAATGAGGAGCCAGCTAGCCAGCGCCTCACAAATCTATATATTTACCAAAATGTTGATTATCTGAAGAGCGTAATAAAATAAGCGAAAGTGCTAGTAATCGACAAATAATGTCATTGTTATTGTATGTCTTGACAAGCTCAGGCGAAACATGTAGACAATTAAACAATAGTACTTTATTTACGCATTTTTAAGCTTTATTTTTATCAATATATATATATGTGTGTGCATTAGCGAGTGATCTATAGAACAGTTCTTATTAGCACGTGACCCCTAGAACAATTCCTATAGCCCATATGTGTCCTCCTTAAACTCACCTCTATTGGAAGGTAAAATTGATTTTACCTTGGTGAGTGCAGACTTGATATCATCTTCTGACGAAACATCTAATTGAAGTGTCTGAAGATGTTCGGATGACGTCTTCTTTAGTTCAGTTGCAGCATCTTGTTTCAGACAGGCAGCAATAACATGAAATCCTAAACCATCTAATCTTTTTGCCAAAAGATTTCCAAATCCTGTATCACAACCGGTTATTAGGACATACTTTACACCATAATTATTGACCTTTAACCTCCCCAAGAACCATTTTAAGGTAAAGTATCCTATCAGGACTGTAACCCACAAAATCATCTATAAACACAAATAATAATGGTCTATTATTAGGCGCTGGGAGTAAGGGGTATGTGTGTGTGGCGGGAGGGGTGGGGTCGTTTTAGAGCGTAAGTAAGTAAAATTCAAGTATTAGAGAAAAAACACTAAAAATTAAAATTTTGGCTAGTACTTTCATCGTTATCAAACGAATCTTCAGGCCATTTTAATGCGTTGATAACGATGAAAGTACTAGCCAAAATTTTAATTTTTAGTGTTTTTTCTCTAATACGTGAATTTTACTTATATGATTAACTGAGAGTTAGATCGTTTTATATATTTGTTTCTTATATATATATATATATATATATATATATATATATATATTTATCCAGGTGTGCCACTATTTCTTCATGTGTTCCAAGGTGTGCCGTTGGCAAAAGAAGGTTGAGAACCAGTGCCCCAACAGAACCACTGACCTGCACATGCGACACGCAATAGCGCCATACATGTGGGAGGGGTTCATTGTCAATCTGACACTTCAAGGAAGGGTTGATGAAAACTGCCGCGTGCTGGTTTATCTATCCATGTTAGTTTTCCTATCGGTTCTTGCATACGATTTACTGTTTAAAGTATTTTTGCTTTATTATGTTATGTTTAATTTGATCGGGAGACGTGTTCGTCGACGTCAACGTCAACCCTGCAAGAATTGGCCGTGGCACTGCAACAGGAGTGGGCCAGATTGCCCCAAATCGTGATTGGACGTTTGATTGGGAGCATGCCACGACGAATTGCTGAATGTCTGAGAATTGGTGGTGCAATTACTCATTATTAAGACAAAAATCAAAAATGTCCATTTTCACTTTTGACGGTGTATCTCTTTGCGAGTAAAATGGGACAGTCGGATAAGTCGTCCAAATAAAAAAAAAAACAGTGCATTTCCGCAGTGTTGTATTGTTTCTGAATATCTCCTACTTTTATGAAGAATGAAGAATATATTTATTTGATGTATAGTATAGTTCAGAGTGTCAACTCTGAATAAATTTAGAACAATTTTACAGAATTAAAAATCTTTGTCAGCTTTTATCGGTCACCAGAAATTTCCCGTAACGATTAATAATTTTGTTGAAAATATATCAATATTCCATAAAGGCATATTATTTCTAGTGATTGGTCATTCAAGCACACTAAAGCATGTTTTCCGCAAATTGGCAACTTTTTATTGAAAAAAAAGAAGGTACGGTTAATTATTTAGTTTATACTTAGATGAATTAGTATGCATTATTTTCTAATTTATGTGTGTATGTATACTCAGAGAATAATTTCGTCGTGCTCTGTAGAGAGACGTCAATGGACCCATGAAGATAAGTAGAAAATTATACTGGCTGACTGTTTACTAACAGTGTTACAATAAGGACTATCATGTTACAGTAAGGACTATCATGTTACAGTAAGGACTATCATGCTACAGTAAAGACTATCATGATACTATTATGTTACAGTAAAGACTATCGTAAAGACTATCATGATACTATTATGTTACAGTAAAGACTATCATGATACTATCATGTTACAGTAAGGACTATCATGTTACACAGTAAAGACACAATTCTTACAGGTTGACATATAAAGGCATCTTTTTTTTTTAAAAAAAAAAAGCTGGAAATATTCTATCAAGAAATATATGTCCACAAATTACGTCGCATGAGTATTGACTGGCACTAGCATCAAATTGTCAGATAAACGTGATATCAAATTTATGTTAATTGTGAGATGTTGCTGGACTAACTTTACAGGCAGGACATGTCCCGAATCAATATATTTACAAATTAAAACAACATAATGACATTCTTTTAACACTATTTGCTTGAAGTTCCAGTTTATAGAACTGTAAATAAATCATCAAAATGCTACACTATAACATTGCCCTTCAAATAAATGATAATGACAAACGAATAACTTTCAAAATAAAAGCAAAAACCAAACTGGGCAAATTTTGTAGGGGAGATCTCTTTATACTATGGCTATCACTATTGGGGACATTTGGAAAAGTTGGACCATGTGAAATTTATGAATCATTTTCTATTTATTTTGCTATCATCTTTTAAGATGGTGGGTGGGGGTGTATTCTACAAGGTTGTATTCTGTGGTGTTTTTCACCACAAGTGTTCCATAAGATATTGTTGGACATAGAAAAAAATTCAATTTTTTCAAACAGTTTTTCTCAGACCATCTTATCCTTATCCCCCTGTGTGGTGCCACATTCCACAAGACTTCCGATTTGGAATAATTTTGATGGGAGTATTTTTGGCCTGTGGCGTTTTTTATTACAAGAGTTTTACAAGATATTGTATTATGTTTATTTATTTGTTTATTTAATCTTGATGTGGTTGATATTACGATATAACGTATAAAGAGGTTTGTAGAATTTGGTGACATCAGGACATTTTACTTTTATTCACCAGCTAGAATGAAAATAAATGAAATGAAGCGGGTTAAAGGTACTGCTTTTCTGCAACTGGGATAATGAAGACGGGTATACGCCGTGTAGTGTGCCATGGGGGAGATTTTGCTCGGACAGCAATGTTGTTTCCTACTCTGTCGAATTCCAACTGCCAACTAGTCTACAATAGGAACGTCTCTCGATTAACATTCGAAATAATCATTATTTGGTAACTTCTGTAAAAACTTTCAATATCGCTATTCTTTATTTACTTTTTCGCTTTTAGGGTTTTCATAATATTACACTTTTCCATAATTGTAAGTGAGATTATAAGCTTGGAAGCAGTACCCGATTCAGATGGAGAGATACCCTAGGCTATTCCAACCCCCACCCTCGCGACTAGAGGAAAATATAGTTGTGTTTGAGCAAAGCCAAGCAGGTTGATAGCTCTAGGTTTCAATCTGCAAAGCCCATAGGTGAATCCGACACTGCTTGGAAAGATTAAAATGTAATTACACTGTACTATTTTCAAATTTCTTTCACATCACTTCGCCCGGCTGATCAATTATGTATAAAAACATAAAGGGTGTCCGTATCATTTTTTGAAAATGTTTTTAAATTTTATTTTCATATATATTCGTTGCTCAATAAAATAATGAGCAATTTGTGTACAACTGAGTCATAAAGTTTATTAAGCTTAAAATCTATTATGTATAAAAACGCAAAAAACGGGCCTATATGCGCAGTTACCAAGCTTCAGTGATTACTTACTAGTTCGTTCCGTACGACTGTCTTTCGTGTCGTATACCTCTTTGTCGGGATAACTAAAATTTTGATAAAGCGGCGTAATACCGATAGGGAAAATAAACTGTACGACCAATGTGAACTTGTTGCTTTCGTAGCAATTTTTCTGAAATTAATGACAAATGATAATTTCTGTAAACGATTAATACATCCTAATGGCATATCAGTGCACTAAATTCATTCTTAAGCTACCCCCCTGAAATGACGAATTTTAAGGGTGATATAGTCAATGATTTAAGTACAAGTCAACGTTCCAGAATATCACATTTATTGTTTTTAGTAAAATTTAGTGCCCAGAATTATAGTATACATTCTTGATTAAATGAACAGATAATATGTGTTCAAATTCAAAGGTTTGACATGACAAAAAGAATGAAGTTCCTTACAGTAACCATTAATTGTCATTACTGTAACAAAACCAGACTCCCCATATAATTGTACATGAAGGAATAGTAACAGTGTAATTGTTGTTGTAGGGTACTTAACAAAGCCAGTTTACGAATTTATATTATCACATGTTAATCCTGTAAATTCTTGATTAAATAATGAATTCTCCCACTAGGCTGTTAATTTCTTTCATCTAGTAAAGATCGCTCAAATGTATATTTGCTGAGAACAATAAAACTTATACCCTGAACATAAAATGTTACAGGAAAGATGCGTTTAAAAAATACTCATTGATTTTAGTAACCAAATCTTCTTGGGTTTTTTTTTTAGGGGGTGGGGGGAATTTGTTTTGTTTTTGTTTTGTTTTTTTTTTTGGGGGGGGGGGGGGGGCTGGAAAAAATTTAATCTAGGCAGATCAAGTGTTTCTGTTTTCATTTAACCCAGAAGGTGGGGAAACTAAGCCAGGAAATTACAACATTTGTCAACAGAGGGGTCCGTTATTATTTTATGATTTAATACTCTTGACATAATGGTTGGGCATAATTTCTAGGGACAGAAACTCTTTAAAAAACAAAGTGGAATAAAACTTATTTGTAACCATTACAAAAATACGTAGTTGTTTTTAAACAAGAGTTTACTTTTATATTAATTATTCATTCAAGTTGTTTTTGGTAAAATTCAGTGCCCATAATTATAGTATACAGTGCATATTTCTATAGACTATGATATCCAGGGTTTATTATATTCGACTAGTATATCCAGTCTATAGACGAGTAGATCCAGTGACTATAACTATAGACTAGCATAATATATTGACTAAATGTTATACTCGATGACCTATATAAGAACGACTGAGCTTTTGAAGATCAAGTAAATACTATATAATTAAGTTACTATGCACAGTATATAGTTTAACACCTTAGTATTAATAGTAACTATAGCCTACCTGTAGTGCAGCGTACGTCACACTTCTTATATAAAATATATTATGTAATAACGGAGTGATTCTCTGCACCCAATATAAACACACCAACAAACAGTTTAATCTACAGTTTTAATATACGCATAAAGTTATAGAAACTAGAGTCTGCACTGATCACGTGACAGCGTGTCGCCATTCGAGCTTGTCGGCCAGGTTTCTACGTCAACGCAACCTTCGCTTTCTCTTTTAATATTCATCTTTTAAATTAGTGCAGTGTCCACAATATGTATTCTTATACAGTAATTTGTCAAATTGTTTCCGAAATTTAAGGAACTAATTATAAAGAGTGAAGAGAAATGAATGTATTTTTTAAGTTTAACCGTGAACAGAAATCAATAGCCGGCAGAATTATATGTATCGATATTTTTATTAATTTGTTAATTATTTTATTTTAGAAATGAGGGAATGAAAAGTGAAGAAATATCAATTAAAGGGTCATTATGGGAGATTTGATAAAGAGTTGACGGTTCTCGCTATAATAGTTATATCGTAGAGCGAGAAAGAGTTGACGGTTCTCGCTATAATAGTTATATCGTAGAACGAGAGTTGACGGTTCTCGCTATAATAGTTATATCGTAGAGCGAGAAAGAGTTGACGGTTCTCGCTATAATAGTTATATCGTAGAGCGAGAGTTGACGGTTCTCGCTATAATAGTTATATCGTAGAGCGAGAGTTGACGGTTCTCGCTATAATAGTTATATCGTAGAGCGAGAGTTGACGGTTCTCGCTATAATAGTTATATCGTAGAGCGAGAGTTGACGGTTCTCGCTATAATAGTTATATCGTAGAGCGAGAAAGCGGTCTACTAGAAATAATGTGATTTAATATATACAAATAATTGGGACCTGTTACGCTTTACAAGTGTAAATACTATAGTGTTCATTTTTCAAAGTTAGGCTATAGGTAGAAAAAGGTACATTGACTTTTTAACAGGACAATACCCTTTGCGTCGCGCATTGCGTTTTTTAAGGGAGCCACGGTGGGTAAGGCGCTGGCTCGCTACCCTGGAGGTCGGGTGTTCGATCCCTGCATTGGCCGAGAAAATTCATCCCGATTTTCCGACGTGGTTTCCCCTTGTCAGTGATGCAGTATTATGCAGTCTACACCATCAGGTGTAATGCGAAATCTGCGGCGCGAAACAGGAAGCATTGGGTAAGTCAGTTAGCCTATAATAGATTTCAATGGGACCCAGCAAGTATTTTCTGGGGAGGGCCAAACAAAATGTTGATGATAGACATTTTGGAAGAAGTAACGACACATTAACATCTCCAATATCACTAGATATTTGAACCACCTTTGCTAGCCACCATTCATTCTAAAAAATATATAACTGCAATATTATGAGAGCATGCAGACAATTGATTTATATCTGATACTGGCAATAATAATTCAATGGCTTGACCTACATTATTCATTTCATAATTTAGTATTCTGAATGGCTCTGATATTGACATGTTTAAGTGATGCACTTGTAAAGTTCCTATCACTTTAGAGCTTGAGTCAACATTTACATCTTCCACACTCGTTTTTACCTAAGAAAATGAAATTAATATTTTTCAAAATACTATTGGCATATAACATATTTTCCCCTCTAACGTCCCTATACACATGAATTTTTACCTTACCACTCACCCATCTACAGGCACCTTTCCATGCTGAGCTTCAAAATAATTCCATTTTATTTTTAAATTAAATGGGTACTTGGTAAGCAAATATAAACAAAAGCTACTCGGACAAGAAATGTACAATATTCAGATTTGAAATCTTTTTCTTCATGTAATTATCAGAATTGAATTTGCAGAGAGAACTAAGAATTTTTTTCATGTTCAAGCTGGTCACTGACCATAACAAAGCTATCGCAATTTAAAGTATTGCCAACTCTATACCATACACATGCTGTATATAATGCAAAACTTTCATATTTAAAATCTGAACTCTGAATCGCGTTTTGTTGTGTGTTTTGATAGTTTTCACAGAGGTCTACTTGTATAATTATTTCATCGCTTTTTAATATATCCTTCAAATATTTCAACTCTTTGTGATGCCTTGTAAAATTATAGTAATGTCTTTTATACTTTCGTATCTGTCTCTCTAATTCACAAATAGCATATTTTTCGGAACAAGATGATTTTTCTTCACAGGACATTCCGCCCACCCCCGACCCCCACCCCACCCCTCCCCCGGAACCCATTTAAAATATCTTATTTAAGGAATCGTGGCCATTAGACTAAATTAGACACTTCCTGCTCACATTTCTGGAATATGACCCATAGACTCTAATGATGGTTTGATATACGTGTTAAATTGCTGTGACATGTGTAAATTGCTGTGAATGCTTACCCTATAGATAACATGTGTAGTGTATAACGTGTTGTATGTAGTGTATCACATGTTATATCACGTGCTGTATGCAGTGTATGACAAGTTGTACCACATGTTGTATGTAGTGTATCGCGTGATGTATGTAGTGTATCACATGTATGTAGTGTATCACGTGTTGTATGTAGTGTGTCACATGTATGTAGTGTATCACGTGTTGTATGTAGTGTATCACGTGTAGTATTTAGTGTGTCACGTGTTGTATGTAGTGTATCAGAAGTTATATCACGTGTTGTATGTAGTGTATTACATGCTGTATCACATGGTGTATGTAGTGTATCACGTGTAGTATTTAGTGTGTCACGTGTTGTATGTAGTGTATCAGGTGTTGTATCACGTGTTATGTGTATTGATTCACTAATGACATCGATTTGTCGTACACCGCATTGGTGCAAAGGGTTCTTTGTGTTCACGGGACCTCCATTTTCGCCCTCCATTCTGCACCACCTGGTAAGGGGGAATCACGCCGGAAAATCCGGATGATCTTTCTTGGTCAACACAGGGATCAAATACGTGACATCCAGGTTAACAAGTCAACGTCTTACTCACTGAGCTTCCGTGGCTCCATCACACTGATATCAAATCACGATACTGATCTTTGTCTTGTTAAATAATCCATAGTGCAATATCTAGGTATGATGCTGATATTGGAACAGTAGACTTTTTTATATACGGGTACAGGGGTAAATTCATTAAAACTATATTATTGTTTTTCTCGGTCCCATGAATGTAAATACTTTTAAGGAATAGTCTGATGTTTAGTAAATTATTATTTTAAGATACTATTAATTAATGTTAAATGTAAATCGTTGATAGTTTGATGTGGAATGAAATGTATGAATATAATGAAAATGTAAAATGAAACCTAATGAATTCTTGTAACCTGATGGTTTTCGTGAATAAAGATTATTATTATTATCTTCGCGCAGTGGCGAGGTTTGGAGATATGTGTGTGTGTGTGTGGAGGGTAGGGCCCCTCTTCATCTAAATTCAGCTGAAGAGTAGGACGTTAAACCTCATTTCATTTCTTTTTATCTAAATTCAACACTGATGTGTTCAATCTCCCAACAACACATGCACCGATGACAACCATTGTGTCATGTCACTTTATGACCGAGCTAACAATAATTATTATTGCTTTAAATTTTAAATTAAAATAATTATTATTGCATATATTATGATTGACTAATTACCATGCACAGTTAATTTTATTATCATGGTAGACAGCTGTGTGGAGGTATATAATCACTTCACTTTATAAGAGTCGATCAGTTTATAGACCAACTGTGCATTGTAAAGATATAGCAGTGGAATTCAAGGTAAATACGATAACGCATAAGTAAATAAGCTGTACCCCATTCAGATATCCGAATTAGATTAGTCAATAGATATGATATTTGATAATGGAGGCTACATCGTGGCGTCATACTGTAGCCTCGATTACATTGCCGTACTTAGTGTAACTTTGTTTTTTTGTTTTTTAAAAGTATATATGGTGTTAATAGTATTGTAACTAGGAAGAAGGGCACTACTATATTACTCCTTGGGGTAATCGGTTGATTCGGACTATGGCTCATTCGGGCCGACCCGATTCTTGATAAGGCATGGGCACGTAGCGAGGAGGCGGGGCACCTGTTTGTCTATGGGTACAGAGCGAGGAGGGGGGGGGGGGGCACCTGTTCGTCTATGGGTACAGAGCGAGGAGGGAGGGCACCTGTTTGTCTATACTAATTTTCCGCGATGCTACCGGATTACCGATATTTTTGTAAAATTGGGTCCATAAATCGGGAAACCCCATCAATCTCCTTGATGTTTATTTTCGGAACAAGGAAAGCGAACTATTTTGGTTGTCTATATATCATTTATTTGCTATAGCACAGTAAATTTTCCATTATGCTACTGGGTTTGGTTTACGACCTATTGACATTTACTTAGATTGGCCGGGCAAAAAGCATACATGGTCACGATAGAGACTAGATAAAAACCCTTTTAAACTTAGTTAAATGTCTAATGACGCTTTTTTTTAGTATTTATAGCTATGCTATCTATCCTTATACTTATCCTTATTGATACAGATTAACATCATGCTACCCCTTTGGATTATAACAGTTGTTGTTGGCTACTTTACTATCAAATGGTTTCTGAACAGATTAGAGGTGGGGAACATTGGTGACAAATACGTCTTCATAACCGGATGTGATACGGGGTTTGGAAATGCCCTGGCCAAGAAATTAGATGGTTTAGGTTTTCACGTTATTGCCTCTTGCCTAAATAAAGATGGTGCCTCGGAATTGAAGAAGGTGACGTCAGAACGACTGACGACTGTTTTATTGGATGTTACGTCAACACAAGACGTTAAACGAGTAATGGAGGAAATTGATGAAATGATTCCGGTCAATAAAGGTAATTTGAATAGTAGCTTACCCACAGGGGGTGGTAGGGGACTCGCGAAGCCCATTAGACCCATGACAAGAGTACATCAGTTCCCCGCAAATAAGCTTGTGCAAATTCCCCCCCCCCCCCCAAAAAAAAAGAAAGTTGAATTCACAATCTGATGGAGGTGCAACGTCCCACATTTATCCATTCATACCGTCTATAATTTATTATTTTATAATGGTTCAATAATTTTGTATACAGAATTATTGTAGCGCTAATCAGAAAATTGTCTCGATTCTGTCTGGTCGAAAAGTATTCATTGAATGAAAAATAAACCCCTGATATTTCAGTCAGGCGAAAAACAGCGTATACATATTACAGTGTAGGCCTACATTTATTCATTTTTGTACTTAATGATCTTCCTCAAATAGGAAACAGTGATCCAATGGGACTGCAATTCAACTGGGGTGATGCGATGTTTATCAATTTCCATATTTTTTCTGTAAACACAAGTGACAAAAGAACATATAATACCGACATCCAAACTCTCATTTTAACAACTAAACATAATATCAAGGCCGTATATATCGAACTTTCAATCAAATTGACTGACATGCGGCCTTGCTAAACAGCGGCCTCGCTTCGTACACTCTATCATTTAGCCTCGATCTAAAATTTCCGGGAGTATGACGTCAAAGTAACAGTTAATCTCCGCTTACGACGCCATTTAAAAATTTAATCAGTCAATGAAATCCTGTTTAAATCCAAGCCGAATCCAAGCCATCCGTGGGTCTACAGAGTTGATTTTGTGCTTGTTGTGTAAATAAAGATCTAATTTATAATCCTTATGACATCTGAAGCCTAAATAAAGACTTGCAATAATCAGATTTAGCTCTTGCACAATGTATGTTTAATAAAGTTGAAATTTTTAAATCACTGTTTGACCAAATTCTGACTACAGTGATCTTTCTAATAATAAATCAATAATCACAAGCATTGAACATGTAATAAGGGAGGGGAAAATAGCATCCTGAATAGGCCTATTAAGCGGGAATTATGCTCCAATTGGCCTTGATTGAAAACACGTCAGAACGATAAACATAACAACCGCTAGAATTCTAGGCATCAAATCGTTTTATAGGGTATTTTGGTAGAATGTAAGCACGAACTACTCTTGCATGAACAAGAACTATAGCAACAAAAAAGAGTTGACGGTCTGCAAATAAAATAATAAAAGCGAACCATCTTTGTTGCCAAGAGTTACAATATCGATAAACATGTTACTAACGCGTTTCGTGATCGAATGATTCAAGCATGTTTAAAAGGACAATAAACGCCTCTAAATTCGAAACAGGGAGTGTAATGTCCTATATATAGTTTCTGTACTATACAGTGTAATATATATACATCAATGGTAGCCTATTCTTATACCTCATTAATATTCATTAGTTTCATCAATTCCTTATATGTATAAGTATATTTACTATGTGCGAGCCTACACCAATAAAGTAGACGTACACGCCTTTGTTTAATGTAATATAGAAGCTATTACAGAAAGTGTTTATCACCAAATTTATTGTTACAGGTTTATGGGCGATCGTCAACAATGCTGGAATCCCGGGTTCCCTTCTACCCTTTGACCTTACAACCAAAGAAGATTTTGAAAAAGTACTGTCTGTTAATTTATTGGGACTAATTGATGTCTGTATTAAGTGTGTGCCCCTACTCAGGAAAGGAAGGACAAAGGGACGGGTCATTAATGTTTCTAGTGTTACTGGACGCTTTGCAGTAGGTGCAAGTGCTTATGTAGCGTCCAAGCACGCCCTTGAAGGTTTTTCAGATGGTCTCAGGTATGTTGTTTCTTGTTCTTTTTAGGCGGAGGGATGAGGGGGTGGCTGTATACGGATCGTGCGTATATTATTAATATATGGTATCGTTTTATTTTCGTTTAACTTATATTCTCACTTTATCACAAAATGTACATACTGCTCAAAGGTGGGATTTACCGTCCATGGTTGATTTTATATTACCGACACAGATTACGTGTTGTTGACTGGAAAATAGTCTGTTTAACACTGGAATAAATGGGCAGGTTAGATTTGAATCCTTAATTTGATTTATCCCCCCCTCCCGTCCCGCCCTATTTTAATCCAATCTTTCAATCTGCCTTTTTTTCCATTAGTGACATCATATACGTGGTTCGTCTTCTGAGAATGGAGACGTTTTAGGTACCTCCAATAGTGTAGGTTGTCTTGATATCTTATCCAACTACATTATGCATTTGGGACGCAAATAGATATCGATGAAATGACTTCTTTTCGTGTATGCCGAAACGTCTCTGCTCACATAGACCACCAACATTCACTGAAAGAGATCATTTTTCCTATTAATTCACAGTGTTTACGTAATTATTTCGTTAATCTTTTTACTTGCGGTACTTACTATGTTCACGCATTTCGGTAAAAGGGGGAAATTGCGGTCCTTGACACGAAGAAAGTCCCCCCCCCACACCCACACTCACACACACAGACTCAGAAGCTGGTCGCTTTTGATTATAAAAAGTTTCTCTTTCAGGCGTGAGTTAAAATGTCAAGGAATATCTGTCCATATAATAGAACCGGGTCATCATACAACTTCTCTCGTAAATAAGGAGAAAATAATCAAAGACCTTGAGCAGGCTTTTCATAGAACCAGACCTGATACACGAGACTACTATGGTGAAGAATACATTACGAAATGTGAGTTCAAATGTCAAATTTTCCTGTGGCCTCAAGATGCTTTAAAACACGAAAATGAAATGAAATTAAATGAAATGAAATGGGGTTTAGCATTCTACCGTTCTACTCTGACAGTGTGCTATGAGGAAAATTATGTCCATACAAAGGCGCTACGGCCTACTCTTATATTAAATTGTAACTGCCAAGGGAACTTTTGCGTGCACGCCAATGTGTACACGGGACCTCGTAGGGGTACAGTGATCAAGATTGTCACGTTTCGAACTCCAGCTGGCTGATAACCTCTGGCTTGCGATCGTGGTTTCCATCCTTGGTGTGGGCGTATGTTACTTGGAGATAAGGGCGCCTTCTCAACTTCGTGGGTTTACTCCGGGTACTGCAATTTTCTTCCACAGTGTGCGCTAAGCATAATTAAATAAAACAACTTGTCTGCGATATCAGTAGTATATAAGGCACCCAAGGGTGATTACGACACCGTGAGGTATTTGGCTACGGCACCCTGAGATATTTGGCTACGACACCCTGATGTATTTCGTTACGGCACCCTGAGATATTTGAGCTTACTGCACCCTGAAGTATTTGAGCTTACGGCACCGTGAGGTACTTGAGCTTACGGCACCCTGAAGTATTTTAGCTTACGGCACCCTGAGGTACTTGAGCTTACGGCACCCGGAGGTATTTGAGCTTACGGCACACTGAGGTATTTGGGCTCGGGGTACTTTGAGGTATTTGAGCTCGGGGTGGGGGGAGGTAATTTGAATGGTTGATTTTTTTTTCAATAACTTTTTTTTTATTTAGTTTTTTTAAATTTATTTGGTTTTATTTAAATTTTGTGAAATTATTTACCGATTTGGTGACTGTTTTTAATTTGAAACGAGGTGTAACGTCCATACTTGTTGAGGAAGACAGGGACTGATTAATATACATGCTCTTTTTTTGTTTCTTCTTATTATCTTGACTAAAAAAAGATTTAGGCTGCTAGCTGTTTAGAAACGTGTGAGACAGAATTGAGAAATTAATACAAAACAATTAATATATTAACATATTGATTAATACGATAATAACTACAATTATCTAGTCATTGTTTTTTTTTTTACTTTTTAAAAACATTTGATTTTTTAACAACTCAGCAAAAAAAACAAAAACAAATCACATCTGTTAATGTATGGTCTTCCCTTAAGGTTACTGACATATCTCTCTTTCTCCCGCTCTGTCTCAATTTTGATTGGTTAAATCTAAGAATATTCAAGTTCCACAATGCCCCCCCCCCCCCCCGCCACACACACACACTATTCTGTCTCACACGTTTCTAAATATGTATATTAATCTAGTCCCTATTAGCCAGTTTCTGCAGATTAGTTGGCTGTTAAGCCTCGTTTCACTTGTCTTATATAAAACCCTATTTCGGTTGTAAAAACTAAAAACTCAAAATTAAAAACTCATACCATATCGATAATTTCACCAAATTTAGAAAAATCAAAATAATGTTTTAAAAAAAACAAATAAAAAAAAAATATTGAAAAAAAAATAATTAAGGAAAAAAACTATGTAAATGAAAAAAAAAATTAATGAAAACAAAAATAATTAATGAAAAAACAAACAATTAATGAAAAAATTATTGATTAATGAAAAAATAAATTTATTAATGAAAACAAAATGATTAATGAAAAAAAAAATGATTAATGAAAAACAAATAAGTTGAATTATAAATATTAACTAAATTATAAATAATTAACTAAATTATAAATATTAACTAAATTATAAATAATTAACTAAATTATAAATAATTAACTAAATTATAAATAATTAACTAAATTAGCAAATAGTTAACTAAATGAGCAAATAATTAACTAAATGAGCAAATAATTAACTAAATGAGCAAATAATTAACTAAATGAGCAAATAATTAACTAAATTATAAATAATTAACTAAATTATAAATAATTAACTAAATTATAAATAATTAACTAAATTATAAATAATTAATTAATGAGCAAATATAATTAACTACAGTGTGGGTGGAGGGATTTTAGGGCATGTGTTGGTCTATGGGCGGGGCGACAACGAAAAATACGCGGGGGCGGGGCGACGCGTGTGCCATGCGCGGTACAGATAAAACAATTTGCGGACCCTACACCATTCAAACCCACATGAACAAGTACAACCGATGACCGCTATCAACAATTCAAATTACTTAGTTGTCACGTGATCATTTGTAAATCGCCTGAAGTGCCGCATACCTCAAAGTGTCGAATACCTTAAAGTGCCCCGAGCTCAAATACCTCAGGGTGCTTTACCCAAAAACCTGAGGGTGCCTTAGCCAAATACCTCAGGGTGCCGTAGCCAAATACCTCAGGGTTCCGTAAGCACCCTAGGACGCCTTATATACTACTGATATCACCCTAGGTTGAAGCGGGCGTTAATCACTAATAGTAGAAAAAGATGTTAACGGCCATGTACATGTCATCTGAACCTCGCAGTGTAATTAAACCATAGTAATATTATTAGCCATAAATAACATATTATTTGGTTATTATCCCAATTACTTGATGACATTCTTAGTACATTAATTGATAGATGCTTTCAGTATACAAAATCGGACTGGTGACGTTATAGTTTTATATTTTATATTACAGATAGTGACCGTCTTATTAATTATCTATGCAACGGAAGCATTGACCCCGAACCAGTGGTTTCAGCCATGACACACGCAGTGACGTCACGTTTTCCAAATCTTAGATATGTTGTTGGATTGGATGCTAAATATATTTTTAGCGTTTTACGGGCACTTCCTGTCTGTATTTCTGACTTTTTGTTTTGTTTTGTAATCACCCCCCCACGAGGGGCAAAGTAGATAACTGTATATATATAGTTATTAGTGTTAAAATTTCAGCGGTTCATATTTGTAAATGTTTTGTATGGTGCTCCTGATTGGGTGTTATTATCGTAATAAAGTGTCAAATACAATACCCATCTTATCTTATCTCCTAATAAGGTGTTCAGTACACTAACAATCTTATCTCCTAATAAGGTGTTCAGTACAATAAAGATCTTTTATTTAAACAACATTTTATTCATTTAAATTTACAAAATTCATATAATAAATATAGGATACGATAACAAGCTTTGTCAGCTTATATAAAATTGCTTCCTTAAAATGGATCTTTAACAGATTTGCAACTGGCAGTCATAATATTAACACAAATATACAGTATAAATCATATTATGTACAATTTAGATGATAATTTTAAATTTCATTAAGAGACATTCTCACGGGGGAAAACTAAAATTAATATTTTATTTATCGGATAACAAGCTTTGTCAGCTTATATAAAATTGCTTCCTTAAAATGGATCTTTAACAGATTTGCAACTGGCAGTCATAATATTAACACAAATATACAGTATAAATCATATTATGTACAATTTAGATGATAATTTTAAATTTCTTAAAGGGACATTCTCACGGGGGGAAACTAAAATTAATATTTTATTTATCGATTACATTTTGGATTTTTTGTTAACGTCGAGTTGTTTTTGTTTTCATATTTTGTGATTTTTTTATTTAGATTTTCTGTTCCAACATGTTCAATTTATGCTTTTATTGCTATTGTTCAGTAAGACTATTTTTAGATCAGATACGTACGAATGTCCCTTTAAAGGCACACACAATAAAAAAAGAAGAAAATAAATTAATGGGGGGTGGGGTGGTATGCTATCAACACCACACCTACAAACGTTTTTAATTATTAGTTTCATATGTTTGCCGTCTTCATCAGATTAAATTTAATGGAACTGAACCGCATATACTTAAATCGTTATAAGGCTTGTGTCAGTCGGAAAAAAGTAACCATTCAGGAATATCATGACATTTTAAGCTTCATTTAGAAAAGATAAAAAAAGGCGATACTTTCATATAATTTACGCCGCACTGACGTCATTTAAATGCAAAATTTTGTATGATTACGAACAGAAACGTTTTGTAATATCCAAGTATTTATGAACACTTTTAAAATTTTTAGCGTTTTCATCATATGTATTACTTTCTTGTCCGAAAAGTAAGGATTGGCTGTTTAAGTTTTTCATCGGAAGTTTATCAAGTTTAAGAAATCTAGGGCAATGAAAGAAAAAGTGTTCACAATCCTCAATAGCATTTCCACAAAGGCAAAGAGGGTCATCTGATATATGCATTAACATTTTGTGAAATTTCAGATCACTTTTGAGATTTCTTCAGTTACAGTGAATAATTTGATTATGTCTATTGCCTATACAATAGAGTTCGGGGTGCTGGCTGTACATATTTTTTTTTTGCCTAAGTTTTGATTTAAATTGTGATAGCGTTCGTGATTTTCGTATGTCGCTAGCAAGATTATTCCAATCTTTGATTACTGACGGAAAAAAGAGTTTTGATAGTGTGAGGTTCTGCAGTGTATTTGTTTAATATTGTCAGAGTTTCTCAATTTATATGATTGATGTGATTATTCATCATTTTATAGAAAATTACTAATTTATGTTGAAGACGCCTGGAAGAAAGGGAGGTGAAGCCAGATTCTTTAAGTAATACCTGGTAAGAAGTGCCTCTTGGTAATCCGGTGATTGTTCTAATTGCATTCAGATGGAGTTTTTCTAGTTGTTCAGACGTTTCATTTGTACAGTTGTTCCAGACGACATCCGCATAGTCAAATACTGGAAGAATATAAGATTTATATAGTATCTCGAGAGTTTTACGTTTTAATCTGTTATTAAAGAAAACGCCTGGATGTTTATGACTAGTATCGTCTGTTATATCATAGTTATTATATGAAAGATTGAATGTTGATGCGCACAGCTTCCTTGAAAAGGTCGGGCTTTTAGTTTTCGAAGGATTGAAATCTACTTTCCATTTGATTGACCAATTACAGATTTGCTTTATATCATCATTGAGAATTTGCTGAGTAAGAAGAGGATTGCCGATTACGAGGAAAAAAGAGGTATCGTCGGCGAAGATGCGTATGTTGGAGCTGATATCCACACTATCGTTTATGGAAAAGGAGAGGGCCTAAAATAGTGCCTTGGGGGACTCCAGTTTTAATTATAATTTTTCATGCAAATAACACATGTAATTCTCTTTTAAAATTTAATGAACAGAAAGGATGAACCTTAAAGAGTTCTTATTAATGTACATGTACCGGTACTAACAATTTACCTGTCATCTTATTTTTACAGGTAGAATACATTTTAATTGATTGGCGAAAAACAGGATTAGAAAAAAAAGATATCAACATAAAAACAATAATAACAAGCCAACAGTGAGGTTGATGTCCCCCGCCTAAATCCCAAAATAAATAGATGACACACATTAATTAATCGCACATTTACTTAGTAAAGGTATTGATGTAATAAAACTATACACCAAATTTCATCACTTTCACTTAATTAGAACTCGATTATCCATTTCATGATTAAATCATTAATGAGCGTTAAGCAGCAGATCGGATTCAAATCCAGTGAAAATCGACACATCAAGTATCAAGACTTATTATTGTTTGTATAAGATAATTAATGTATAATTAATAGTTTAGATAACATTTCAGGTGTAAAGAAAGAACTGCAATGGGAGGGAGATTTAGCTCTTGCATAATGTATGTTTAAACCAACCTAAAAGTGTTTGAATTTTGAAATTAAACACACTAATGTTCCATAAAATTCAATCTCGCCAAATTGATAATGTTTCTTTAATTATTCATTAAGGACATATTTTCTCATTTTGTCAAGTTTATTAGATAAATTTTGAAGTTTGTTCAGGTATTGTCCAGGTTGTTTTGGATTAAGGCTATAATGAAATAATTTAAAATTGTGATGCTGCCGGCCTGGTAATTTCTTGAATAATTCATCCCCACTCAAAAGTGTGACCAATTTGTTTGCATTTTCGTCACGGTTAGTAGCTCTTCTGCGGTGTCTATAGATGCTATGTTCTACGAAGTTGGTGTCGAATATAACGTCTAGAGATTATCCTAGAGGTTCAACAATCTGTCCACATCTTTCAAGTGTTGAATCGGTATATCTACCCTTTGCTTTATCTAGAAGATCTTTATACAGTCTATTGAATACTTCATTCATATAGTCCATTGGGACGTTACGTCCGACACCACCTCCGTAGTTTACCGCTCTGTTCCACATTAGCTCTTGTTCCATTTTTTCACAACTCATACCACTGATTGAACACACCAATCTATGTGCCAAGACTAGGTATTTTGGATGTTTTTTTGCATTCTTCTTGTCTGCTTTGGCATTGGTGGCTGCAGTAGAAGGTCTCTGGTACATTATCTGGGTCGACTCCAGCACAGGTAACATGAAACTACTGACCTCTTGCGCAACGTTCTCTGAGATGGCACCCGATGATATTTTCATCCAAAAGTTCTTCATTGCAGATACAGATGTTTTCTTCGCAGTCGTTCTCTCTGTTCAGCAGAGCATCAGTGTCGAGTGGATGATTGACGTAATCAAATACCTTAAACGTGAGTACACCCAGGTAAGATGTTTTCAATTCGGTACTTTCCGTCTCGATATTTGATGTTCTGTTCTTTGGTGAGTCGTGAATATCATCCATCTCGAATAACTGCATAGCTATCAAACAAACAAAGGCTTCCGTCTGTAATGCCATCAATTCCCATGCATCAGAGAAACATTGCGCAATGTCATTCTTGACCTGCCTGAAATTTAAAACGTTTTTTACATAAACCAAACTGCCACGGTCCATCGAACTTGAAGGATGAAAAAATGTGTCAAAATGATCTTGCAATAACAACATTTCCTTGTGAAATTCTTGGACGGCAGGTTCCATGTTCTGTAAACGCTCACGTGGAGTCACCCCGTTACACAGAGCTTTCTTTGCATCATTCCCGCGCTCACAACTCAGACCGTCTCCATACACGATTGTTGGGTATGGCTCATTATTTACTGTTGGTACATACGTCTGCAGTTTTCGGTATATGCCAATGGCACCTTCGGTAGAAGAAGGGTTTTCATTGAATACACCTAGACTGACAAGTTTACTCTTTCTGTTCATTTCTTTAGAGTGTATGTGAATTATGTGTTTAACAACACAGTCTGAAAAATTTGGGAAAACCAGGTCAAATGTCTGCACAAAATGCGGCCAATAATGGTCTCGATCCTCGAGTTAAGTTCGTTAAAGTCTTCCTCGTTTGGTACAAACACACCGGGGTGTAAATCAGCGGCATTTGCACGTTGGTCTGTATCCAGATGGGTGACCGGAATTCTATTGATTGCCATGAACCCAAATGCCATGTTTAAATAAGTGTTCTGTGTATGAGCAGTGGGGTGTCGCGTTGTAACCTTTTTGCCAACATTATCCCAGCAGAATGTATACCCTGGATGAAGTGGAAGAGAATCGCGTGTTTCGTCTCTGTTTATATTATTGTCTTGTAAATTGTTCGATAATACTACGTCCATTAGTTCAGTGCTGTCATTCATGTTAACATCTTGATCGGAACCGTCATACAACTGAGCTTCCAGTAATTGTTTTGCGTCTAACGCTTCTTTATCGAACGATGACCGTATTCCGTCAATGGCTGCCAACGTCCCTTTATATCCGAGACACATGCCCGTGTGGCTTAACTGTTTCACCATTTCTGATTTCAAACCCCCACGCCAGAACTGGATGGAAAATGCTGTTTGCAAAAATTTACACGATTTTTGACACCATCATAATCGGACAGAAAATTTAATTTCAATAATTCGCTTGTGAGTAGGGGTGTTTCGCAGTGGGAGGAAACCGGAGCACCAGGAAAAAATGCATGAGATAGTCAAGCGATCCCACTCTTTGGCACGTATAAATGTGGAATGGAAACCACTTGACTCAATGACATACCTTATGATTTCGCGCACACGCGTCAAACCGCTATACCACCCAACCCCGCAGCTATGGCAGGTGTGGCGCCAGGCAGGGTAAGATTACTCTTCCGGACACCTGTTACCACTGTTTGTCGTGTATTTTTTACACGGTGAACAGTCCATATGCTGATTACACCATTTTGCCTAGACCGTTTTTTAAGGACTTCGAATTTTGTCTAATGGTTTGGATTGTTCGTACTTGGTTTCATTTTATTTGTGTATATAATATTAACAAATAATATATTTTAACTTGTATATTTTTTCAATTAATATTTCAACTTTATTTGTTTATTTTCATATAATATAATTTAACTTGTATATATTTTAACTTGTATATAATTTTAAATAACCTCACTGTAAAAAAAAAACCCACCAAAAATATACTTTGTTGTCTTATTAATTTTGTGTCTTGGCAGAATTTTCGACAGCAAAATCAAACAGTGTCTTCCCCACATAAAAAAATAATTGATCCACATTTCAATAACAAGATTGTATCCTATTTCTATGCATAGCGCATACATTTGGGCAATATCAATATTTTGCGAAAACGGTAGAATCAACTGGGCAAAGTTTTTCCTACCTCGCATAAAACAATTATGTCTTTTAAATAAGAAAATATATGGAACATCACCTTTTTTGTTGCTGTAAGATAAATATAAAAGTTGCATATCACAGATACATGTAACTCTACCATGCCCTTGGTTGGGTAATGTCACACGCCCATGGGAATAAAATTCATATTTAATAGCATAGCAAACCCAAATTAGGTTCCGAATGTCGAACAGTATTGTGAAATTTTCTGTGGAAATTCACATACCGTATATAAAATTAATCCCCCCCCCCCTTCCATCAGAATATTTCAAAGGAATATGTTATTAATTAATGCAGGAAGAGCGCTCCACTTCCCGAAAAAATTAAATGTAATGAGGGTTTAACGTTCTACTGTTCTGCTCCGATTGGTCTAAGGAAGTCGGAGAGAGGGAGAAATGGGGTTTAACGTCCACTCGACACAAAATAGGTAATTTATGGACTAACAGATGTTTTATAAAAAAATTAATTTCAATAATTCTCTTGCGCGTAGGGGTCTTTATCGTTGGGAGGAAACCGGAGGACCCGGAGAAAACCCACGAGTTTGGACAGGCGACCCTACTCCTTGTCACGTACAGCCGAGGATTCGAAACCACGCCAGTTGACTCTGACAGGTCGTACGATACAGCACGCACGAGCTAACCATTCGGCCACCCCACCCCACCCTAAGGAAGACGGGCATACGATACACATCTTGCTATAAGGACAATTTTGTCTCAAAACCCTGTGCTATCACCTACTTATATCGAATTCCAACTGTGAGGGATCTTTAACGTTCATTACAATGTGCACATGGAACCTTGTTTTATCGTACCATCAGAACGACGATACAGTGTCCCTTGCCAGAAACCTCATACTGCACCGATGAGAAGCGGGGTGGGGTGGGACACTGGAAAAAAACGCGTTATACTTTTCTGCATCAACACTGGGATCGAAAACGGGCCTCCGGGTTACAGAGACTACGTCTTACTAACTGAATCACGGCGTCCACAATATCCCGCTGTCCAAATACATACATGTATGTATATAAGATAGGCTCTGTGCTGTATTGGGTACTTCATGTCGCTGCATGTTCATCACTAGTAATTATTTCAGTTTACGAAAAGGCATTTAGATATAAAATCGATTATTTGAGAATTATTTTAATTGAAAGATGAGTTCAACAACTAAGTAATATAAATTATCGGTAGAATATGTGTTTGCATAACATTTTCCATTTCTTGATTTATCCTTAAACATTTTAATTTTAATCTGATTTTATTACTGTTTGTGTTATCTAAACAGCTTCAAACCCTATTTTAATTGATGTGCAACTCATATCTACAAAAACAATGCATACGTAATCTATAGAAATATTGTTCAAAAATACACTTCGTTTCGGGTAAAATAGGGGTCCTCAAATTTGAACGGGAGGATATGACGTCAAACGGAGCTCAAACTATCCAAACATTGCGACTGAAAGACCTGTTGGTGTGTATGTGATATTGGATAAACCTGTTTCACTGAACAACGTTTGTTTGTCAGTAAGTGTTATTGTTGTTCAGAGGTGGATAACACAATAAGGTTGGACATGCATTTAGAATTTATCGACTGACGCCTTTCAGCTCGTGGTTATTTGATGCACCAACAATTCAGTGGCTCATTGCTCTAAGAAGGGACGGCTTAAAGATCCTTGAGGTTACGTGTGAACGAATCCTCAAGGCACCCTGGAGTAGTCATCGTCAGGTTTTACAAATTACATGTACTCTTAGTCTCCTAACTTTAATATTCATCATTAGGCCTAATAAGCAGAAACAGAACACTGCCAATAGTATGGTTACAAAACTGTTCATACTGTGAACAAAAATACATAATAATATAGTGATAATTGCAATTTGTTAATTCATATGTTTAAATAAAGCCTTAAAATACATGGCATAATATACACACAGTCCTACCTTGTTAAAGAATAATACTAAATGGCTAAATCCTACAATTCACTAGTGTCCGTTGAGAAATTGGCAAATATGTCATTGTTTTTAAAATCCATTTTACTATGTATTTTTGATGTGTACAAGTTTGAATAGTCTCGCTCTTGACCAGGCATCGTTAACCCTATCTGTTTATGCGTGGACCTTGACAATCGAGACAATTCCCCCTTCCGTTGTGCAGACATAGTTTTCCAGTGAAAAAAAAAGATACAATTTCCCATTCGGCAAACTCCGGTATTCTACATCTAGAACAGAAAACCCTGTAGTGTTCCGAGTCACAATTTCCAAATACTGTCCGCGAATAGAAATTATTTCAAATTTTTATGTGAATGTTTTTAAGTGCTAGAATGATCCTAATACTATAGTAGAGGTCTAGTGCTAGAATGATTCTAATACTATAGTAGAGGTCTAGTGCTAGAATGATCCTAATACTATAGTAGAGGTCTAGTGCTAGAATGATCCTAATACTATAGTAGAGGTCTAGTGCTAGAATGATCCTAATACTATAGTAGAGGTCTAGTGCTAGAATGATCCTAATACTATAGTAGAGGTCTAGTGCTAGAATGATCCTAATACTATAGTAGAGGTCTAGTGCTAGAATGATCCTAATACTATAGTAGAGGTCTAGTGCTAGAATGATCCTAATACTATAGTAGAGGTCTAGTGCTAGAATGATCCTAATACTATAGTAGAGGTCTAGTGCTAGAATGATCCTAATACTATAGTAGAGGTCTAGTGCTAGAATGATCCTAATACTATAGTAGAGGTCTAGTGCTTAGACATCCTATTAAGTAATAGATATAGAAATAATTATGTTTTGACTTTCTTAGAAAAAATGCAATTATTAGGCCAACCCTAATGACAATATGGTGCACTTTTAATTCTATCTAGGACCTATGTCCTATATATATTCTATGTCATGAAGTAGAAATTTTCTATTTTTGAAACATAATCGTTATTTCAGAAATAGGGAAAACATTGGTAAATTTCGATTGCCCATTGCCATAAGACAAACCTCCGAGATATTTTTAATTTATTTCAACATCACAAGACTTCGTTCTACTTACCAAAATATACTGAGGTGAAAGTGAACACGAATATAATGACAAGTTATTGATAGAGTCTACTACGTTACAGATTATGTCGAAAAAGTCGATCCCAATTTTTGTACAAGACACCAAGCATAACAGTTAATATGACCAGAACAACAAAAGTGAAAAATTCGAAAACTGTCAGCAATGACATTAATATTTCTAACATCGCCATGGTGGCTTACCGTGGGCATTAAGATGGCGGAGATACGCTTAAAGTATGCGCATGCGTGAAAAAATGACGTAACTGAGCTGTGTGAATATGAATGGACATGAGAGGTGATCAGGCGGGAAAACACACCTTTTCACCCAACGGGTTTAATATTTACGGTTAACCGAGCACTTCCGAGATATTCTAAAAATAAACTCGACAGGGGGTGGAAAGTAGATTACACAGGTTTCTAAATTCGAGGACCGATTTTGGTCCTCGAAAACCCAATGGTCCAGCAATTGTTGGTGTGCAAGCACACAAGTGTCCCCCAATTCAATGATCTGCCCACACACACATAAACGACACCCCTCGCTAAGTTGTTTCTCCCAGGGTCAAGGGGTCATTGTCGCGGGGCCTGCTGATAGGACTTGACAACATAATCAAAGACCGCCTACTAGATAATCTCAGATAAAACCGCGGGTGATATCGCAGATAAGTGTTTTCTAACAATCTGATTAAAATACAGATCTATATTTCGTTTCGTTTTTTTTATATACTTTCGATGGCCTACACTACATGAAGCTCTGATCGGTTATAGTGATAGGTCGCGTCAGAGGTCATACGAGCGGCTTTCGACCCTATGACTTCAGACATTTGATCAACCAATCAGCATTGATGTTTCTAATGGATTACCCACAGTTCCGTGCACAATAGCTCAAAAGCTCGCTGTAACAGACCGTTTCATTGCCTAAACCCTCACATAATCCAGAACACGTCAATGATAACAATTCTTCCAGATCTTAGTGGAAACGCGGGGCGGAATGGAAATCGCAGTTACCGCTTTTTAATGTTTGCAGAGTAACAAACATCACAAGGGAGATAACCATCGATATTGAAACGGATTAAAACCACAATTGATTTCCCAATTGTTTTTAATATTAATACTTGGCACCAACTTTTCCCAAAATTTTGTTAGGCTGAATGCTGTCCACCACAGACGATTAATAGCTGGCCGTGTTTTACTGCAAAGTCTGTATAGCTGGCCATGTTTTTCTGCAAAGTCTGTACAAGGTTAAACATTGAAATTTCAATATACACATTCTGACCTTACTCAAACCAAATAAGAAATGAACTTTGGTTTAACGTATCCTTTTCCCCACCAGCTGGATTATTGAAGACGATCATACACCGTGCTGTCGGCTATTTTAATTTCCACCTGTCAGGTGTTCTATAACGTAAATGGTATACTTCAGATTTCACCTTTTTTTATAGCCAGATCCATTTCCTGCATAACCCACAAGGGGAAACCAGGCTTGAATTTTCTGGTCCAACACAGGGATGGATCTAATCCCCAAGCCACCGTTGGTCCCTTGCATATAAAATAAACAAATTAGGCACTTTAGGCGTATGAATCACACCTGATATGAATAAAGTACAAAGTAACTCGAGTTAATTTAAATTAACCTATCATGGACGTCAATTATTATGACATGTAAATATGACGTCAACCAATCAGATTATGTCGTCGTCGCCTCGTTAAAGTAACACAATTTTCTATCTCAGATAAATAAAGATAGAGATAGAAATGGGGTTTAACGTCCACTTGACGAAAACTCGGTCATTTCGGGACTAAGATGTGGTTTAATTTTATTGTAATAATTCGCTTGCGCGTAGGGGTCTTCAGCAGTAGGAGGAAACCGGAATACCCGAAGAAAACCCACGAGGTTGGACAGGCGACTCTACTCCTTGTCACCTACAACCGGGGAATCGAAACCACACCAGTTGACTCAATGAAAGACCTTCTGATACAGCGTGCACGTGCTAACCCTTCGGCCATCCAACCCCCCTAATTTAAAGCTAATATTTTCTAATTAAAGTATAATAACACATATGTTAAATTATTTCGTTAGATGAACACTAGAGCTTTCTGTAGAAAGTGCAATTTTAATGACCTTGGAGAAGTTTTACAAAATCGTAAATGTTCAGTCTTATTGTTGTCAAGATCGGGTGGCCATATTCGCTCTGGGACACGTTCATTGACGTGGCCTATCGTGATCCCTGTGGACGAGGCGAGTTTAAACAAATAACAAAATCCGACATCCATTCTGGGATAGTCCATAACAACCTGACGAAGTATTTAGCATCTTTTCCAACGATGTATCTGGGTTTTGGGTATCTGGCAGTAATAGCATGCTCGTAAGCATCGATTACTTTGAATAATTTATTAGATGATGTTTCCGGCAGTTTGTTAATCAACATCTTAGCTGAAAATACATACATGGGTTATTATTAGAGATTATGTAACCACGTGTCAAACAGGAGGCACATTGAATAAAAGTTCTGAATTAATTTCTAAATTCGTCACCTAACAAAACCTGTTTAAGATTTCGGGTCAATGTTTTTCGTTGGGTGACCTGATAATCTATTGCTATTCTTTTAGAAGTCTATACAGTCAATGACCCATGTGCTATACTTGATAACGAAAAGGTAAATATCACCTGCACATTATTTTTATAAAATAAAAGTCTGGTTTTATCCAGACACCGTATAATACAGCTTGGGACACCGGTCTCCATTTCCAGATGAAGACTGACGGGTTTAGGCTGTTTGAAAACATATCACAAATACTGGGTTAGTTGCTCGGCCCTTAGGTAGAGGATTTTAACACAAAATTATTTTCGGGGTTGGCCCTTTATTGGTTAATTTAACCCTGAGCAGGAGGACCCGGATAGAACCCACAGCTTTAGGCATGCGACCCTTTGTGACGCCATGTATAAACATGGGATCGATCCCAGATGTCCCTATGCCCAAGGTTATTGGGCGAGAAAAGCCGAGAGGGTCTTAATAGACTGCTGGTTGCTTGCTAAGCTGGATGACCCGTGTTCATGGGTGTGGGTGGCTATCTCCAATAGAAGGCTTGATCTCGCTTTAACTACGTACATCTTATCAAGGCCTTCACGTAATACCCTGCATATTGCGGTACTAATTTCGATTGGGTAAAAGCCCAACTTGTGAGCCTATCAGATTCCTCGATCGTCGCGAATACCAAGTCTCGCGCGTTTAAGCTAAAATGTCTACCTGTGATAATCGAGTTGCAAAGAAGGTTCGTTCAATGTCAAAGTTTCCGTGGAGGTCGCGATGTCACAACCTCTGATTGGAGGCTATACTGCTCACGTGTCTGTAGATAACATAGCTATAAGTTCCGGAATTGTGAAGTAAACAAGCAACGGCCAGATGTTATGAAACTCGCAGTCGTTGTTTCAGGAACATGGGGTATGGCGTATGTCCGTCTTCATTATTAGTTCAGTCGGAGCATTCGATTTCACTATTCCATCCTATACAACATGGGTATCAAAAGAAACAGACGGACACAGTAAAGGTTTTAGACGTTTTGTCAAAGTCAACGGTCACGATTAGGCCGTAGCGCGCCGTTCCGGGCAAAATTGCCATCATAGCACACTGTATGGCGTCTTCCTAGGTCTTATCGGGGCATTTCATTTAAATATTCCTCTCTGTGCAACATGATTGTGTTTAAAAAAACCAGTCTGAAACAGTAAAGGTTTAAGAAGTTTTGTGAAGATCAACGGTCAAGATTAGATCGTAGCACCCCGTTCCGGGAAAAGTGGCCACCATGGTACACAGTGTGGCGGATGCTCGTCTTCATTAGCCTAGTCGGAGCACTACATTTCATTATTCCACTCAATATAACATGTGTTTTAGGCGTTTTGTCAAGGTCAACGGGCAAGGTCTAAAGACCAACAGCCGGTTGAAGCACCCTAACCCGCGGAATACAGTGATCGAGCAGACTGTCGTTATACAAAATACTATAAATGTAAATATCATATAAACCAGCTGGACATACTGAAGGTTTTAAACGTTTAGACTAAGCCGATGCTCAAGGTCAAAGGTCAAAAGATCGAGAGACGGTTGAACCAACATAATAGCCCTATCGTACCCACGGTATCGTCATGGACCGTATATAGATGGACAGGCAACGTGTCCCGTTGGTTGGTTTCTCTGCCGCTCGTGCGAGACACGACGAGATCTCAATGTCAACGGCAAATTAAGCGATGTGATTTTTGATTAATTTCTCAAACTCCTCCTTAGAATTTACATCTATACACGGTCCATGGTATCGTGAACATTAGCCGAATAACCATTGTTTATTTCAATAATTCCACTGCACGCAGAGGTCCTTAGAAGTGGGGAAAAACTGGAGGACCCACATAAACCCATGATTTAAATAAAACATACTTTGATCAATAAACTCCTGTCCGTAATAATGCTGGAAATCAGAATCTCCTTGATTAAATGCTTCTTGAAATCTTTTATGAACCTGCTGGGTGTTGATTATCTCTGTGTTAAAATATCCCGGTTCCAAGATACTGACCTTTATTCCTTGGTGATACACCTCTCGTCTGAAACAATATTTACAAAAAAAACCCGTCAGGGTAAAGTTGTCAATGAAACAGAGGCGGGGGGGGGGGGTCAAAACTAGTGTCGGATTCCAGTTACAAGCCCCCCCCCCCCCCCCACACACACACACATAAACCTACACACACCTAGAGGGGTTAAAGGTCTGTTATAAAAAATGTTAATTAAAGTCGAGGATGCCGACGAATGTTTAAGACTACAGTGCGTGTAGGAATGGCTTTATAACAAGGTAGAACATGGTATACACGTTGGTGATAGGCTCCCTAGATCCCAATGCCACGAGCCACGGTGTAAATTCGACACTCGGTTAAACCCAAAATAAACATAAAAACTATTAAAACATAGATCCTATTTCGTTTCGCTTTTTATCGTTCAAAATTTTCTTTTATTTGTTATCATTATACCAGGATCTGGAAGAATTGTTAAATACATCGCGTTCTGGGTGATGCGAGGGATTAGGCAATCACACATGAACTGTTGCGTCGAGATCCTACCATGCGCTGCGCGAACCCGTGTGTAGACATTCGCAACGATAGAAAACAAAACAAGCCTGAAGGTGTTTTTCCGAAAAGTCGTTTTTAACACCGAAGCTGATTGGTTAATAACTGA